TATGTCTTTAAAAAATGCCACTGGGATTTTGATGGGGATTGCATTAAATCTGTATATTGCTTTGAGTAATATGGCCATTTTAACTATGTTGATTCTTCCAATTCATGAACATTTTTAATATCCTGTTACTTTTAGTATTCACAAGTCATAAAATAAGAAAATAATTTAGTGTTAATGTTATCATTCATTTCTACCTGACATTTAAAAAAACACAGTGATATTTATATTCTTAGACTATTGTCAAGATTATGAACTCTACTTAAAAAATTATTAAACATACACAAACACTTTTATCTATATATCGCAACCAGAAATATAGGAGACAGAAGCCAAGGAATCAAAGTGTTTTGTATTACGTAAAGTTCCAATTATTAGTGGCAAAAGTGTGCTATTTAAAATACAAAGTTGATTCATTTACTGAACAAATGTTTACTGAGTACCTTCTCAGTGACAGGCTATTTTATTTAAACTTTTTAAATATTTAATTTTGAATTTTACTTAGCTAAAAAAAGTATTTGTATATGAAGAAAAATGCACATTGGGATAAGACTCAGAAATGCCTAATACTCCAGGATTACCTGAAAAAGCATTGCTGTAATATCTAGACAGGGTCTGCATGATGTCTTTTGAGTGCTGGGTCCACGGCGCTATCTTTCTGTAGGTTTTTACACGATGAACAAGTTGAGAACCACCATATTGAAGGGACAAGGTATCCCCATGATCTTCATAGAGTTCCTCAAATAACCTAAGCAAAAGAAACACAGACATTAAAGAACTTTAGAAAAAGTATCACACGTTATTCACTTAGCCACAAACTCAAAATATGTCTTTTATTTTAGAATTCTCTGAACCTTTCTTTTCAAGCAGACTCATGAACATCTTAAAGAGAAGTGTAAATGCAAAATATATTTTATGGTAATAGTCTAATGAGCAACAAATTCACAGAAAACACTAAAAAAGAAGCAGGGGCACCAAAAACATAACCCACCAAAGCCAGACCAAGTTGGTTCTAACCTTATTAAAAGACGCTTATATCCAATTATCTATCGAAGCACACTTTGGTTGTATCCATGTCTTAGCCACTATGAATAATGATGCAATGAACGCAGGGGTACATATACCTTTTTTTTTTTTTTAAGATTTTTTATTGGGGAACTGGGGGATGGGAACAGTGCTGGGGAATTGGGGGAAGGGGAACAGACAAGTTGCTCTCCTTTCATTCTTCAGTCTAGTTGTGGAGGACGTTGCTTCACTGGCCCAAGTTGGCACCATCATTGNCCAGGTCGAGCTGTTGTTCACCAACTTAGCTGTAAGGGCGCAGCGTCACTGGCCCTCATGTGGGATCCGAACCGGGGCCCTGCTGCCCAGAGCCAGCATCCCAAGCCAACTCTTAACCAATGCGCCACTCAGCCGGCCTGACACTAACCAGTTTTACTATGCGCTGTATTTAAACAGATCAGGCTTGACTATAACAATTCTTTTTAATCAGCCCAAAACTTTATTTTGAAAGTAGAAAATTTGTTATTCTAATATTTTATTGTTTGTGATAAAGTGGCCCTGAAATCAGTAATGGAAAGGAACATAATTTGACTGTGAAAAAAGCTGTTGAAAGGCTAGGTAAGATAAAGACAGAAAAATGACCACTGGGATTTGGCAACATGGGGATCGTCGGTGATTTTGACAAGCACAGTTTCAGTGGCATGATAGGGCGGATGCCCAGTAAAGCAGATGGAAAGAACAGGATTTAAGAGAGGAAGACAGGTATGCAGATAATTCTTTCAAGAGGTTTTGCTTATGCAGAGAAATAGGATGTGGGGTAAGGATAGAAGAAAAGGTTAGGTGGAAAACACTAAGGTGTGCTTTCATGCTAATGGAAAAAGGGCAGCAGAGAGGGAGAAACTGGTGATGTACAGCAATGAGCATATAATTAATTACAGGGACTGCAGGAGGGGGAGGGATTCGGGGCACAACAGAGGGGCAGGGCCACTCCAACCACTGTAATACAATATAAGGTCAAAACTATGGGTGTAGATTAAGGGCCGGCTCTGCATTTGGTGGTAAGACAAAGAGGGAGTTCACCTCAATGACTTATTTTCTCAATGAAGTATTATATGAAGCAAGGTCATCAGCTGAGATTGGAGTGCTGTAGGTTTAGAGAGAGAGGACAGGTATGAAATGGTCATTTTGGAGAGTGGGAGAGTGAACGTACCAGGGAAAGGTACTACACACAGTAGGACTGTCAAGCTGTTTTCAGTGTCCTTTGGAGAACTGCAGTCAGTTTAAACTGAAAGTAATGTTACAACTTTTTCTCTTGCCACATTTAATCGTGGGAGAGATGGATAGTTGGGTTTTAATCAGAGTTATTCATGCTATTTCAAATGTCATTAAAGCAAAACATGTTTCCAATTGTCTTCTTTCCGCTATAGCCAAACACTCTAAACCTGCTGTTAGAAGGATGGCCTTAGAAGGCTATCACACTTCTTGATAAACTAAAATGCTCAGCATGCTCCCTGGCATTTACCTCTTTCAGTGGTGAGCAGCAAGAGACAGAAACAGTTCCACTCACTACCTTATAGCACTATCACTATGCCGGATGATACCATCTTGGCAGTTTTCTGTAATTACTGTTTTCCGTACACAGTGAGCTTTAAAGTCTTTACCCTGAGAGATTTTAAAATCTCTGTTTGAGGAGGCTATGATTCCCCTCCATGCATGCATACACACACGCTCATTACATTTAAATTGTACATATGTGTATATATGTATGTTTGTATGTATATGTACAGCAGATCTATTATTAACTGCTATAGGTATCCTATTTTTTTCTTATAATAGTATTTAAATTCAACGAGCTTCAGCAAAAAAATACAGGCTTACAAAAATGTAAATATAAAAAAAAATTAGAACATGCTTAA